AATAAATTGTTTTTTTTTCATGAATATTGCAATTGAAATAATCTTATTACTCAAAACGTCTATTTCCACTTTTTTCAAAAGTAATCATTGTGAGTATAGTATGATATTTATAAATACTCATTTTTGTTACAACTACACCAAAGGTATCATTATCTAACACACACCAAACACCAATAACGTATGAAGGACACATAGCCATAAAAAGAAGGACCCGTAGGGCATATGTCTTTACTTTCTCATTAATTAAAAAATGTACTACTCTTCAATCTAGAGAAATCAATGGTGTGATATTCATCATTAATAAATCACATATATCTATCTTCCCTAGAACAAGAACTATAGGTTTTTCAAAGCTTCATTCATAGACCATAGTTCAATATAGATTAAGATAGCTCCACTGCTTCAAATCCCAAGTCCCAAACCTGTTACTGCAAAAAAATCTCCATGTCATACATAACACCCAGTTGAATTCATTAGGCTGAAGCATCTTTCATCCTTTTCAACAATGAGTAAACCCAAAACCATTAGAAAACCAACCATTACTAAGGTTATCAGCAATGACCAAAACCAACAACCTCAGAAGACAGAAAAACAACCCTCATGGTCAGTAAGAGGTTTTTTAGCTTGTAGGAATGTCCAAATTCAGCAACAGCAGCCGAAACAACCACAACCACAACCACGACCGCAACCGCTACAGTTAGATGAAGCAAAACAATCAAGGAAGAAACATGAACATAAAAAGGTACAAACAGAAAGAGTCACACATGAAGAAAACAACAAGAAGTGCAAGAAGATGAAATGTTCAGGTTCACTTTGCAATAACACCAAAGTCATGGCAAGGCCTGAAACAGGAACTCCTGATATTCACAAGAAGAGGGTGTCACTGAGTGGTTCATGTAGTAACAACAATGATGGTTCTAGCAGCAGATCCATGAAGGGACCATTGAATGAAATCAATGGAACTGTGTCAGCATCTTCTTCTTCACTTTCAGAAGCATCTTCTGGTTCTTCTGCTGCTACTGGCTCTTTTAAGGGAATGCCATTCAGGAGACTCTCTGGTTGTTATGAGTGTAGAATGGTTGTTGACCCTGTTCTTGGTTTCACTAGAGACCCTTCTCTTAGGAGTAGCATTTGTTCTTGTCCTGATTGTGGTGAAATCATGAAAACTGAAAGTTTGGAACATCATCAGGCTGTTAAACATGCAGGTATTCTTTTTCTTCTAAGTTCTATCTTCTCATTGAAATTAACATCACTTGTTTTTTTTTAGATTAAGTTATTTTACATTACATGTACTTGGTCATTGATTAATTGCTTTAAAAAATAAAGTTTTTTCATTCTTTAGTTTGTGATATTCTTAAGCTAGGACTAGGAGAGAGCACAGAGAATAGTGTGTATTTGGATTAACCTATTTATACTCTAAATAGTTTATAATCAGAATCTCCTTAAAAGAGTTTTTATATAAAAAGTAGTAAAAATTCTCCTCCTTAACAATCAATGGCAACCATTCACTATATTAGATGGTGTAAAAATGAAACATTTTGATTATGTTCTTTTATATTGCGTTCACCCATAAAACACTAGTATTTCTCTATTCCATTTTTTGTTAAGGTACCATAAATTTATATATGTTTGATTATGTTTCCCTTGTTACCAATTTCAGTTTCAGAGCTGGGTCCAGAAGATACAAGCAAGAACATAGTTGAAATTATATTCCACTCAAGCTGGCTAAAGAAGCAATCACCGGTATGCAAAATCGACCGCATCCTTAAGGTTCACAACACTCAAAAAACCATCACAAAATTTGAAGAGTACAGAGACTCCATCAAAGCAAAGGCCACAAAGCTATCCAAAAAGCATCCTCGTTGCGTAGCAGATGGAAATGAATTACTTAGGTTCCAATGCACTACTTTCATGTGCTCATTAGGCCTAAATGGTTCTTCAAACCTTTGCAACTCAATACCACAATGCAATGTGTGTAGCATAATCAAACTTGGGTTCAAAACCAATGGTGGAAATGGGAATGGTATATTAACAACCGCGACAAGCGGTAAGGCGCACGATAAGGCGAGTGTTTCGATCGATGAATGTAGTGACAAAAGGGCAATGCTGGTTTGCAGGGTGATAGCAGGCAGGGTGAAGAAGAATGCAGAAGGTGGAATGGAAGAGTATGATTCTGTTGCAGTTGCTGGTGCTGTTGGGGCCTATTCAAATTTGGATGAGTTATATGTGTTTAATCATAGAGCTATTTTGCCTTGTTTTGTTGTAATCTATAGTGGTTTTTGATTTGTGTTGGTTTTTCTTTGGAATGTAGGGGTGAACTTTGTTTACTGTCACTTTCTTTGCTTCTTTAGCTGGTTTATGTTTTAGCATCATCTTATTAATGATCATTTGGGCACTTTGTTGTATATTTCAGCATTTAATTTGCCTGATGATTTGTTCAAAAGCACTAGTGATTTGCCTGATGATATGTGTTTAATCATAGAATTATTTGGGCACTAATGTTTGCTATTGAAAAGAAAAGGTTCATAAAAGAAAGATAAGACATCTACACATTAAATTTGGGTTGGTTTCGGATGGGTACCCACGAGTACCGTTATCATTGTCATCGTTATCGTTGTGGATAAACATTATTCATTTGACGATTGAGATATTGAAAGGAAGAAAGTAGTAGTGAGTAGAAAGTATTTTATAATCTAATCCATTAGTGCAAAAGGTAAAGATGAAGTCAATGACTAACATACAAAGGACATTTTTTCATTTCATTTGCTTCTTATTGTTCTAAACATGTTCTTTGTTCTTTTACTTTTGTTTCCTTCATCTTACATGAAAAAACCAAGTTTTCTTCTTTGTCTCTCATTTTATCATCTTAAAAATTTATTCACTAAGCTATTATTATAATACATGTTTTAGTAATAATTCCCTAATAATAATGTTGTTTAAGATTCAATATTGTAAGTATTTTAAATTATCTAATAATTAACTAAATGCATCTTCAAGTCTGATCAACAATCTAACTGATCGGACTCTCTGATACGGTCCGGTTTTCACAATTACTTTAGTTAATAAATTTCTTATTATACTAATGAATTGAAGATGCTATTACCATTGTTATGCACTCGAAGTTGGAACTAGTTGCACCATTAGTTGACTCTTGTTTTGTACTCATTGTATTATGATTAAGATAGCCATAACCTTTGTCACCCAAAGTTGAGCAACTCCACATGCCCGCATGGGGTTAATAATCGCCACCATTATCCAGAGAACTAAGAATGAATATTAAAATATAAGTTTCTCTATACAAAACAACAAGAAAACAAAACAAAACACTAGTATTTTCTAAGAAATTTCTAGGTGGCCACAAAATTTATTTGCAGCATTTATTGTGTAATCTACCAACAAATGAATGTTGGTCTCCTTTGAGTGGTAAGTAGGTAAGTTTTTCAGAAGTTGGAAAAAACATTTAGATAGATTTATTCTCTTAACTAAGTCTTTTCGACTTACTCGAATTATTTGCGGTTCAGCAAGACAATCAAATGTCGACGGTTTCAAATCAAAATATGTTTATGAACTTCATTATTAAAAACTCACCCAAATTGAAAATTGGTTAATACTCTTATGAATATTGCTTAAGGGGAGAAAGAAAACACAATATAATTTTAATTCTTAAGGGGAGAAAGAAAACACAATATAATTTTAATTTTCAAAGTTACATTTTCCTGTCCTCCTTAAACAATTTCCTCATGACATTTATTCACAAAACTCCAATACATAGTGGCGATGGTTGAAATTGATTGAGCATTTAAATGTTTGATCGACAACATTTTGTTGTAAATAGTAATTCTAGCCAACTTAAATAAGATTTTTAATAATCAAAGTATCATTTTCATTGGGTTTAGAAATATATATAAAAAAATGTCTGTACTTGGTAACTAGTGGTCCTTGTAATGCCTATGACCAAAAATAGACATATTTTGACAGCATGATCATTAAAGATACAATATTTTGTTCCACAGAATGTGTTATCATTTATGATTTGGTCACAAAAATATCTAAGTATTATGAAGTGACACATTTGATGAGATAGAAATATCTCAGGATTACTACGTAGTAATCATTTAGCTTTTCTTTATAGTCAACTAAATATGGCGCGAAATGAGTGAACAATAAGAAACTTGGCGTGGGAATTTCACCATAACTTTAGTAGTGAGCTTCTAGTTATTGAAAAGTGTGAAGGAATCATGACTTGGGATGCTTGTGAAGATGGAAACAAAAAGAAAAGCTCCTAGAAAGTCAGAATGAGAACTAAGGATACAATGTGGCTGCAATGCCTCACAATAAAATCAACATAGTATAAAATATTTTCACTACAAATAAGACTCTCTCTCTCTCACTATATATAAATACTTAAAATACTGAATATGTTTATTCTTTAATTTGATATGACGGTAATGGTGGACATAGCATGACTCTTTGGGTTAATTTTTTTGGTTTTAAGACTAATTTTAGTTTGAGTATTCTTCTACTAAATCCTCATATTAATTCTCATACTCATAAAAAAGTGACATGTGTCATAAAATAATAATTTATTTATTAGTGATTGATTTACAAGTGACACATATCTCTTTCTTGTCGGTATGATGATCAGTAGGAGTTGTCAAAAAATTGTGAACCCTGAATTTTGGGTTTTGTCGACTCTCTTGTTCATATGTGTAGAGCCTTGAATAACACTCTCAAACTGCAGTGCCATAATGTGTTCCCAAAAAAGTAAAGTCCATGGAAGACAGTACTAGTAGCATGCATGGTTGAGACACCACAGAGCAATAAGTGGGCCTTATGCAGGCCACCTAAGAATGATAATGTAGGGGTGGGTAGTGGGGTTCACCAATTAATCTTATCTTGGTAGGACCTAACCATATTTTGCTTTTGCCTAGTTCTTATGATGAGTAAGGCTCTTATGGTCATTGGTTTGGACAGGGCTTAAATTGCTAGGACCACTTTAATTCCTCCTCCCAAGGTTATAGGTCATCTCAGTTTGGCAGGATTTAGTGGATTCTCTTAATTTGGGTGCCCCTAAAAATCTGATCAAGCTTTAAAACCAAACATGAAGCAGCCATTTGACAGATTACAATGGCTTGAAAGGACCAAAAACTATTCCTGGTACAGTTTCAAATTTGTGTAAGCATCACTTTTCTATACAAAGATAAAAGTTTTTTCTTTTGCTAATTTGTAAAGTTTTATTTTAGGGTTGTGTTGACCCTCTTTAAAGAATACAAATAAAGTAATTTAATATTGAAAATCTAAGTTCAGCACTATCTGGTATACAAAGAACACAATTTTCAGATGCAAAACTGCATCTTTTACTTCCTTAAAGAATGCTCCAAGAGCACTTGTTAACCATAAACAATGCTCCAAAGAGCACTTGTTAACATTCCCTTTATTTTACACTTGTTTCTTGCTCATACATGTGCTCAAAATCCTCTCTGATCAGATGATAAAAAAAGTGGAAGACATAGGTCATTAAAGGTTTGCATCCACCCCAACAAATATTCAATGCTGCTTAGTGCTGTCTCAATCTGTTCTCAACCTTGGGCAACTGGATGGAACCAGAAAAGGACAAAAAGGAAGTTGATGATGGTAATCCATGGTGGGATGGTGGCATTTCCATATTACAAACCGACTATTGCAAGATCAGTCAAACAAGATAAGATTCAATCATTGTAAGAACCTGAAAACTTAAAACATTTGGTATTAAAAATCTAGTCACTTATCATGTTATACATCAAACCAAGTAATCAAGCCTAGCCACTTTATTTGTTATTCTTATCCAATCAAAAGACCTTCTAAACCTATTTATTAAGAGACTCCATCATAATAAGAAAAGAATTATTACTTACACCCAAAAAAAGTAATACCAACAAGCCTGACTCAATTGGAATTCAATTTCTACTATATGTATAGAAATTGTTTTGTTGGGAGATATTGTACACACTTGAGTGATTTCTCCGAATCAAAAGGGATTAGTCTTCGGCTGTTGGCTGAAGGGCATCCTTGGTGCACACAAAAAAAACCATTGCTATCAGAGGAAGCTTTTCAAAGAAGTGCTGAAAATGCCAATTTGCTCAACCAGGCTAAAGGATGAGCTAAGACCTGACTACTTCTGCAAATAACAATGAATATGGAATAAATATTTTAGAAAGGGTAAGTCTGTTTAATTACGAAACTAGTTTACAGAAAGTTCAAGTAATTGAAAAAAACTTAAAAAACAAAGCAGTAATATTATCATTAAAATTATCGTTCTAAGATGCACTAGCATGTTAAAGTGAATTAGCATGCACTTGAAATCGATTAACAAAATTATGGGTGCCACCTCTAACTTTAACCAAATTTGAGTTCATGTTAACCTCTTAAAACTATGGTTGACATTCCAAATGGCGTAAATGCTACTAACCTTTTTGTCGGGGGAGGCGGACATTGGATGTGTGAAATCTCATGGCAATAGCAGGTATGAAAGCTTATCAGATTGAACTGCTGCATTCAGTGTACTGCATCTTTGTATTTCATGGCGCATTATGCTTTTTTACCTTCTTATTAGAATTAGACTGACACAGCCACTAAAACATAAAGATTGTGTTTCACAGTTCATACTTCAGACATATCCCATTCCTTATAAGTTAGATCAGCCAGTGACTGATCTGGAAAAATCTCATACATTCTGTATGAGGGCAAAGCTAGCCGAACTAAGCCATGCACAATACCGGCATTCTTAACTCGAGATCTCTATCCAGCTTTTTCCAGCTTCTTTTTTACTTACTTTTTTCATAGCTTCCCTTACTTTGCTTAGACTATCCCACATTCCAAAAGTTGCATAAAAATTTGAGAGCAATATATATACAGAGGCATCTTCTGGAAAGGTAGCAAGAAGATGCATAGCAACAGTATTTGCAAGATATCGGTTGTTGTGAGTTCCACAGGCACCAATTAAGGAGAACCATATACTTTTGTCAGGCTTAAATGGCATGCTTCTAATCAGTTTTATCGCTTCTTTGAAAAGCCCTGCTTGACAAAGTATGTCAACCATACAATTGTAATGTTCTGGTAATAGCGTCAATCCATGCTCAGTTTCGATAGAATTAAATATGGTCCATGCCTCTTCAACTAGGCCAGTGTGTCTACACGCAGTAAGTACACCTAGAATGGTTATTTCATTTGGCTTTGTACCCATTTCAATCATCTTATGCAGAAGACTAATCGCCTCATATGCTCTTCCATTTTGTGCACATCCCACAATGATCCCTGTCCAACACATCATATCTATTTCTGAAAGACAATGAAACAAACCTAAGGCATCCTCAATCTCACCACACTTTGCATACATATCAATCAGAGCAGTTGTAATAACTCTCTCTGATTCATATCCCTTCTTAAGACAGAAAGAATGAGTGTGCTTGCCGCTTCGAAGAGATGCCAAATTTGAAGAAACTTTCAGAACAGTAGAAAGGACAAAATGGTCAATCTCAAGTTCCAAATGAACCATATCTGTAAAGAGGGAAAAAGCTAATATATCTAAACCAGTTCTAGCACAACCAGCAATCAAACTAGACCAAGCTACAACATCTTTATCTGGCAACCTTTCAAACAATCTCAACGCATTGGTAATATTGCCCTGTTTTGCATATAGATCAATAAGGATGCTTCCAACAACATAATCTAACTCATAGCCACAAGTGACGACCAAACCATGCACTTGAGATGCTAATTGCAAGTTATGGAAGTAGATGCAGGTCTTTAAAGCAAGGCTAAAAGTATAGGAATCAAGACGTGCCCCAGAAATATGCATATTTGCAATCAAATTGAGAGCCTCGGCGTGCCCTCCATTAGCAATGTGCCCTGAAATCATAGAATTCCAAAGCGCCAAGCTTTCAGCGGTAGGAGAGTTCCTGAAGAATTGATAAAATATCTCAGTTGCTTCATCAAGCAGCTTGCAATTTGAATACATATCAATCAGTGACGATACACAATAACAGCTAGATTCAAAACCTGACTTGATAACATAACAATGAATCTGTATCCCCATGGTTAATACATCAAGAGAACTGCAGGTTTTTAGAGCACAGGGTAATGTAAATTCATCTAGTTTAAGACCCTTCACATGCATCATAGAAACAAATTGCAGTGCATGGGGACTGTTAATATTTGCAAGACCAGCAATGATGCTGTTCCAAGATACAATATCTGGATTTGACATTTGATCAAACAAGTTCAGCGCATCACCTATCAATCCCACTTTAGCATGCCCCAGAATGAGGGTGTTCCATGAAGTCAAATTTTTACACGGCATTTCATTGAAAACTTGTTGGGCATCCCTCAAGTTCCCACATTTAACATACATGTCCAATAGTGCATTCATCAGAACAGTGTCAAACTCTAACATAGCTTCACATATATGATCATGAATCAACTTGCCCAATCCAACATTTCCCACAAGACCACATGCCTTGAGAACCGTAGAATACAAGAACTGATTGGGTTGTTGTTCTGTTTTGGATTCCAACATGTGATTATAGAGTTCAAGAGCCTGATGGGGCCTCCCAGAATTGGTGAAAGCAGAGATCATAGTTGTCCACGAAATGATATCTCTATGAGGCATTTCGTCGAATAGGTTCTGTGCATCGTTGAAATGGGAACACTTAGCATAAACAGATATCATGTTGTTAAGGAGAAAGTTATGATTAAGAAGGCCATGTTTAATAATGTAACAATGGAGTGATTTGGCATTTTTGATTGATTGAAAGTACCTGCAACTTCGTAAAGCTATCTGAATTTTGTTTAAATCCATTGCCAAGTAGATATATGTGCTAACGGCTAACCCATAAGCCTTTGGATTGCCACACAAAACAGTGAACGTTACTCATAGCACATGACAACTTTGCTATCCAAGGAAAAATATGGAATAATGTTATATCCTCGTACTAATCTTCATACCCACAACAAAAGTTACATACAGTGTAAGATGATTACCAAGAGGATTTAGTAAGGATAAATCATTTTCCATATCAGATGCACTAAATTGAAAACATACTCTGGTTGTTCTTTTTTGATTGATATTTACGGTTTAAGGATTCATACACACATTAGGAATCGCAATTAAGATTCTCAATGATAATTATTCTTACCACAATTTCACTCATTATCTCTTATTAATAACGTAGAATATAAAAACGTTGAATGCCTCCACCAAAGTTTTCTAGGGCCCTCAGACATAATCCATCATCTTTCGGATCCCAACAAAGGATACTAACATTACATTGATTATGTAGCTAAACAAATAAAAAGAACAAAAAAAATTCTATTATATTCTGCTCGTTATCTCTCTTATTAATCATCTTGACGTATAATTATAAAAATTATAATTAAAGTTGCACGTTATCCCAGTGCGAGACTCACACTCATGAGCATATTGAACCAATTGGACCATCTTAAAATACAACACAATCAACTAGTACATTGCTTCCAAGGTCTAATATATATGGCTTCATTTCAACCACGCCTTTGAGATATGAAAGAGTAGCTCTCATTCAAAGCAGACATGACTATAGTAGTTAACTTCATAATTTTTCCAAAAACGAATCTTTATTGAAATAAACTTTATTGGTTAAAGACACCTCTTGTCTCAATTATATGAAATCAGTAACTCTGGTGTTTAGTATTACTATGAAACTACAATAGCCGAGATTTATTACAAAACAGGGTCAATATCCACTCAAACACCCCATAATATCTTAAGAGGCACCAACCCGATCACGCGGAATAAGGCGTAGCTCTGAACCATGCTTCAGGAAGACATTACCTGAAGAAATGTGATAATACAGTATGTCAAATAAAAAGATAACTATGACCAACCTATATTTATTTCATTCAATGTCATAAAATATTCTGTAGGAACCAGATAGATCAAGCAGTTCTCAACATAACCATTTAGTGTATCACTTAGTTTAATCAGAATAACTTATTCGTGTAATCATTATGGTTATCCTTTTGCCTTAAGAAATAATTGTTTTTATCAAGTTTCTGTGAAGAAAAAAATGTGAAAGTAACCATAGTTTGAAACTCTTCGAGCACAGCAGTAATTTAAAGAAACCTATGATAAAGAAATGACAAACCTGCACTCTGCTGGGGATTTATGCCCACACCATCTGCATGAATATAAAATATAAATATTTAATTTAGCAAATCTAGGATGGATATTACTACTAGATAGATAGGATTGCATATTCACGTTGACAATCAAAAAGAAAAAAATACTTAAATTCACCTAACCCAATTGCCCAAATATACATACAGAACAATACTCCTAGATTACCATTCATGGGGTTCAATGTCCATGATGGTAATATGGTATTGACAGATTAGCTTTCTCCATATAATTGCTGGCAACTAATCAGTTCAAATACAAATTAATCAAGTTGCCACAATAAAATTTCAATTTTTCAATCTATTTGAATATTTTTGAAGGGTGGAGATCGTATTTTCACTGTGATTTAAAATCTCTGTGGACCAACAGCTGAGTAATGAGGATACATTTATCAGATATCCAACCAC